TTTCAAAACTTTGATTTAATTCTGAGTTGTTTCACAATTTATCAATTTTATGCAATTAAATTTATAAGAGCAATAATGTTAATGCTGTATAAATTATCTCTGATATGTTCATTTGCTTACATAATATCCATAACTGCTAGGGTTTACATATTCACATAGTGTATCATGAGAAACCAGACAACAAGAATTATCTTTAGGCTTTCTTGCAAACTAGTACAGTCATCCCCCTCTACAGTCACTCCCTCTATAAGCACATCATATAAAAAACCTCTCTATAAGCACACTATGTATATTATATGTTGAGAACGTATTAATTGCTTGGGGTAATGTATTGTTATGTGTTCATGTTCTACTCTCAGTACCCCTCAAGAAGAAACCATAATCTTGCCTTTGTATTCTTAATGTAGTGGTGGCATAGAAGTATTCAAGGAAAACTTTTTCAGGTTTGTTTAATTCATAATTAGTAATTACTGTAAAAGTTGGCTGTACTGACGTGACTTTGCATGACTGAAAATTATAACTAACAAAGGCAACTTCAAAACACATGTGCGCATACTGTACATTAGAGATTACACACAATCATGAGTATGAGCTTTCTCTTGGCCTCCACCTTGCTAGAAGTAAAAGTATGGGACTTGGTCTCCTCTTGACTGGCAATGCTTCTCCACCCGAACAATTATATGGCTTTGAGCTCTCTTCATTTGTTCCTTCCAGCCATGCAGGAGTGAATTGTGTGCAATGGAGTCACGACAGTAAGTTTTTAACTATGAGATTATGAGAAAACGAGAAAAATGGAAAAGGACAAAAATAGGTTTTTATGTTTTTGAGCTTTTTAAGGCTGAAATCCGCTCTATGTATAATATATATAGACCAGCTATTAGGTGTAGTAGTAGGGCAAAAGGGCTCAGTGTCAATCCATGATCATAAGGAACAATTGCTGAGAAGATACCTTTATATTTACAAATTGAAAAGGGTTCAGTGAGGAATTAGTTTGAATCTGGTTTGATTGAAAAAGTGTTAACTAACACCATGTTTTCTTTCATTTTGGCTATATCAGATGTCAAAGTGATTAGATTCTACAATAAATCAAAGTGTGTAATATTTGGAGGGTCAAATAAAATCAGTCACATATGGGATAGAACTGAATCACAGTATGATGAGCCTTTGAAGGCAAGTTATTCATAAACATCATCAGTGTGACCTGGGCTTTGCAATCATATAACTATTTTTTTTTCACCAATGTAGGGCCATCGGAGTGCAATAACAGGCATGATCTCAACATAGACAAGATATTGGTTGTTAGTGCAAGCGATATTGAAGATATAGTAGGAGTGAGTAATTTAACAGTCAGGTATGTCACAAATATACCAATTTGAATGATATTATGGTATTAGATCATATCTTTTAGCATTTATTTTAGAATTTCCATATCGCGGATTTTACTTTTTTTAATTATTGTCCTTGTCTATTCTTCCTCTTGCTGCACTAACAATAACAATCTCAGTACTGTCATCCATTAACGAAAACTGTGAGCTGGTGGTTGAGTCTCAGTCTTATCATACTTCAAGACTAAATAAATGTACACTAAGTCGATATGAGACTAAATTAAGTCTTTATGTTTATTATTGAAAAATTGCAGTCAGGGAGGTTTCCAAATTTGATAACACAGATCGTTGCCTTTTATAATAAGGGAAAAAAGTCTAGAAATTTCTTTCTAACCAATTAAAATTTTTGATCCATATATAGTATCAACCGTTCGATTTATTATAAACATACCAAACGAGTGGATTTCGCTCAGCAAGCTATTTAAATTTTTGAAAGGCCACTCTAAAAGATTATCTAAACAGAACTACTCATGGTTTTTAATTGATATTATAAAATCATCCCTTTTGGCAATTTCCATCACAGACTTGATATGGTTTTTTGATCGTTCATCCAACCCGTTTCTTTAATGCTTCTTTCAGGTAGAGGTTACTGATGAAGATCTACCTCATACTCCTTTCAAAGCATTTCGCATTCTGAACCTAACAAGGATATTTGGATTCCACAATCGAAAACTTTCTTTTTCAAATGAAGCGAGTTAGCATCTTGTTGGATCTTATTTTCTTTCTGTTTCTCCCGAATCTAAAGAAATTAATTCATTCGTTTAATAACGTGCTTAATGAAAGACTGTCCCTTAATGAAAGACAATCTGATTGTAATGCATTTCTTTTGCGAGGGACTTCGTTGTAGTGCATTAATTCTCTGAAGTCAATCAATACAGACAGTTCATGAAATACTTAGCCAGTTCCATTATACTCTT